GCGAGTCACCATAGGATGAGCAGGGGGAGGTGGGGGATGTGTGGGAGTATGAGAAGGAGATGTGGGAAGAGGAGAAGGAGATGTGGGAGTAGGAGAAAGGGTTGTGAGTTGGTCGTGGTTGAGAGGTGGTGCTGCAGGTGAAACAGGTGTTGGTTGTGTTGTAGGACTGTTGGACGAACTGTTGGAACATGGTGGTTCACTGTTGGAACAGTTAGATGAACAGTTGCAACAGTTAGACAAAGTCTGAGGGAGGAGGACCATGGAGGGTGTGTTTTCGTCCAAGGCAGAGGTAAGAAGTGTGTTTGTGGGGGAGTTGACTCATCAAAAGGAAAGTGAGTTTCGTCGAAGGTAACATGACGAGAAATTATGATTCGGCTAGTGGATCTATCAAGGCAACGATAACCTTTGTGAGAGGAATGGTGACCTAGATATACACAAGGAGTGGAACGGGAGGCGAGTTTATATAGTGTGGTGGCGGTGAGGTTGGGATAACAGAGACAGCCGAATACTCGAAGATGAGAGTATGTAGGTTTGGTGAGGTAAAGAGCTTCGTGAGGGGTCTGATTTTGTGTGGTTTTGGTAGGTAAGATATTGAGTAAGTGGGTGGCCATATGAAGAGCTTCGACCCAATAAGTAGGAGGAAGATGAGCTTGAAAGATGATAGATCGAATCATGTTGGTTATAGTGCGGATCATTCGTTCTACGTGTCCGTTTTGAGAGGAGGTGTGGGGACACGAAAAACGATTTAGGATGTCGTGTTTAGTAAAATAGTTTTGAAAATCCGCATTTTTTAATTCACGGTCATTATCACTTTGTAAGGCTTTGAGGGGATGTTGGAATTGAGTTTTTAGAAGTGTATGAAAATTGACAAATGTTGTAAAAACATCAGATTTATTGCGAAGAGGAAAAGTCCATAAATAATGGGTAAAATCATCAACTAATACAAGATAGTATTTGAAACCCGTAAGACTAGAGACAGGAGAAGTCCATAAATCAGCATGAATAATTTAAAATGGAGCAACAGTAGTAGATTTTTGAGAATAAAATGGTAGACGAAAATGTTTACCTAATTGACAGGCATTACAAATAGACTCCCTAGGGTCTTTATTATGAGAAAGAAAAGTGTTAGAAAATAAACGGGACATGACGTGTTTGCCGGGATGGCCTAGACGCCGATGCCAAAGAGTTTGAGACGAAGGTGTTGAGACAGTGAAGAAATCAGCGGGAGGTGAGGTGGGAGGAGGGACGCCAAATGGATATAGGTCACCAGAGCTATTGCCCCTGAAAATCTCGACTCGACTCTGAAGATCCTTCACAGGAAAACCAAAAGGGTCAAATTCAACCAAACATGAGTTATCGCGGGTGAACTATCAAACAGAGATAAGGTGTTTGATGGCATTGGGTGTGACATAGACATTTGTGAGGCGAAAATGAGTGGTGGGAAGAATTGTGTGGCCTATGTGGGTGATGGGAATGGTGGAACCATTACCGACGACGACATGTTTGGGGAAATTACTACTAGAATTAAAAACAAAATTGAAATTACCTGAGTGTGGTGCCATATGAGAGGTCGCCCCGCTGTCCATGAACCACTGTGACTCGGTAGGCTGCTGAAGTGTCACCGTATTCAAATAATTTGCTAGATCCACCACGTTGGCACTGTTGCATGAACTGTTGCAACAGTTGATGGAACTGTTAGAGCTGTGGCATGACTGCTGGTGCGGATGAACCTTAGTAGGGGCCGAGTGGCTGGTGTAGGTTTCAGGTAGTCCAGTAAGTAAGCTTGAGCGCTGGAGTGGATGGGTGGCCCGATGTATTTTGGAGCGGGTCCTAGAATTGACGGGAACGACTGTTGTCGGTAAGGTGCGCGCCAGAGTTTAGATGCGCTATGAGCACTATGGTTGAGCACTATGGTAGCTGTTACAGGGGTTAATTTATCACCGAAATTTTCCCTTGTACGGCCTGATTTGCCCACCAAACCAGTCAGCCTTCCTCACGATTTTCTTCGCACAAACACGCACAAACACAAGTCTTTTCAGCCACGTAAACGAAAACAAGAGTATGCAGCGGAAATCAAACACACAAGCACGTTTACGGGCAATGCCCAACCTTTATATTAATAACGAATACAAAGGAGACTAAGGTGCACACACAAAATCCTCACTCAGAATTGCCCAACAATTGCAATCTGAACTCTCATATGCTAGATGATACTAGATGCCTCGGATTTGTGCACTCATAGCCAAATAAATACAAGGAAATGGTAGTTTTCACACAAAACTACCTAAGGACACATGGCAGCATACAAACATGACACTTGGCTAACTATTACAAGTAATAAGGGGCAGTTTTCTTGCATTTTCAGGCCTCAACCGCTCCGTAACTTCCTCAAATCCGCCCACAAGGCTGATTTCCGAAGCCCAACTTGAACGAGCCCGCGAACGCGCGCCAAACGGCCCAAACAGCCCGGCCGGTTGCTAGGCAGCCCATCTGCCTTGCCTTTTCCGCACTTTTGCTTCCATTTACCGATTACTTGCCAGTTCTTTGCCCACACGGTCATCGGCACGCCCGCTCATCGGACTGCCTTGCTTGCCTTGCCAATTTTGCCCACACTTGTCAAGTCGTGGTCGATTTCCCTCGAACGTTCGTTTGCCCACGTTATCGGCCGCATGCCGATTACTGCCCACGCTTGTCCGACTTTGCTGCCGAGCAACGCCCGTGCCAGCCACAAGTAATATCGATCACCGTTCCCACTTGAATCAAGTCGATCCTTGCTTTCTCGGTCAAACACCCCGAATGCTTGCCGATCACTCGACCACTCATTGGTCGAACGCCCGACCACTCATTGGCCGGTTGTGTGGCTGCCTTGTGCCAATCCCCACTTGGCACCATTTATCGGTCATGACTCGGCCACACTCGAGTCATTACCGATATCACCGATTATGGGGGTAACAGTAGCCGTAGTGCTGCATGGGGTGACGGCTAGTGCCGCGATCTCCGCGACGGTTGGATCGGCCACCCCCGCGCTGATAGAGCTAAGAACCACCTCCGCGGGAACTGTTGCAACTGTTGGATGGACAGTTCGCGTTGGAGGCGTAGAAAACATCAGCAGTCTGCTTAGGTTCAGCATGTCTTGTTTCTTCCATCTGAAGAAGCGATCGTCTGTAGAAAAGTAGGAAGGGAATTCTGAAAGGAGATGAGATTGGCGACGGTCCCGTAATTTTTCGGAAGGCCGTGTAGGGTTTGTAGGACGAGTTGTTTGTCGGAAATTGGATTTCCAACATCGACCAAACTGTCCGCCGTGGTTTTGATTATTTGGCAATTATCGTGAATGGAGAGAGTGCCTTTCTTGAGGGACTTGAATTTTTCTTCAAGTAGAATGGCCCGATAATCTATTATCGGGTGAAGAGAGAAGAGATGGCGGTCCAGAGATCATTGGCGGTGGATGTTTTGGAGAGAACCATGCTGGACAAATCATCGGAGATGGTGTCGTAGATCCAAGATTGGAGGAGATAGTCGGCGCGTTGCCATTCATCGGCGGAAATTGAGTCGGGTCGGGGTTTTCCATGGAGAAGATCTGAGAGGCAGAAACGACCGACGGTAATTGTGAAAAAATGGCTCCATTTTTTATAGTTGGGATTTTTCAGATCTAGGATGACGGGATGAGAGATTTGATATTGGAGATGACTTGAGCAAGGTGGAAAGGATTGAGAGGGGCGGTGGAGGGAGAAGATGCGTCGCCGGCCATGGAGAAGGAGAGAGGCGACGACTAGGTTAACCTAGTGTCTCATACCATATAGGAGAAATAGAGTTGGAGAAAGAGAAAATTATGTCCCTCACGTATATTTTAATCATATATATATATATAGTTACATATAGGAAACCCTAACCTATTAGACAAGGTAACCTATTATACAAGTAACTATAATAATAATAATAATAATAATAATAATAATAATAATAATAATAATAATAATAATAATAATAATAATAATAATAATAATAATAATAATAATAATAATAATAATAATAATAATAATAATAATAATAATAATAATAATAATAATAATAATAATAATAATAATAATAATAATAATAATAATAATAATAATAATAATATATACGTAATATGTACGCTAATTAGACGAAAG